TCTTCTGATATCTGAATCCCACAATGCTCTGCTGATGTCTCTGAAATGGATATTATCATTTATTTGTTTATATATCTGTGTGGCACATACATGGCAGTAATATTATCCACCCAATGGTCCAACCCAGAGTCTATGCATGACCTCAGATAGGCCCTTTTCTCCTATCTCACAGATTTAATCACGCTGCTTCTTAAAGTTGATCAAACCTCGTATCACCTCTGTAATGTAATGATGGTAACTGTTTAGATTCAATGATTGGCCAAGACTTCAAGATAGAATTGATGATTTTGAACTTGTCATTACCTCAAAGTCTAGCACCTAGCCCAATGTCTGACACATGGGGATCACTCACTGAATATTTACCAAGAGTTTAACTGTGTCTTACATCAATTTTTACTTTCTACAATGCCTTACCAGTAGCCCCTGAATGAGTGGAGATTTACCAAATATCTGAAAAGTCATCTTCTGCTTGATTATTGAGAAATGCCTTCACTAGTAAATAACATCAGCAGAGTTAAGCAACATAAAAGTTAGTCCAACACATTTCTCACCTCCAAAGCAGCACATACGTAGAGGAAAGTCCCTGGGGTTGGCTGACACTAAATTTGAACCCACCTGGAGAGTCGAACCTTGGTATTTCCTTGAAGGTGAAATGGACTTGTGCTGAATAAATCTCTACTTCTATCTAAAATACTGTTTCCTCAAAAACCACAGTAGCTTTCTCCAACATCCTGTTTTAACCATATCCTCCAACTACTAAGAATCTGGAACCCCAAAATAGAAATGCATGGGGCGCAGAAGGGAGGAAGGACAGAAGTTTTCCGGTGGTAGCTAGCAAGCCCCTACTCATAATTTACTCCCTAGGCACTTCTCCACTTGAAGTGGAGATGCTCTTCTCCACTTGAAGTCCTTTTGGGGCAGGACATATGTTAAACAGCCTCCTGAGCTTGAGCTGCGGGGCAGGCTCACGCATAGCAGCATTGGCTCGTATTTTTCAGCACAGACTTATGTTGATGTAGCCTAGAAAACCAAGCTGCCAAAATTTCATCTGTTTTTAGTTGATGAAAAATGTGAAAATACATATTCCTCACTTCATCTCTGAATATCACCACATCCCTGAGACACACACCGCAGGCGTGGAGATGGAATGAGGGGCAGAGTAGGTTCCCATTGAGCTGGAATCACGCTGGGACGGTCACTGCCCAGAGGACACGTAAAGAGCGGCCAATACGTGTCCTGTGAGTCATGAGGGCAGAACTTGCTTGTGAGGCAAACACAAAATGTACAAGTTTGCTGTTGGACTGATCATCCCAAAGGTGGCAGTCCAAGCAGCAGCAGGTAACCCAGCCACAGGGCTAGAAGTCCCTGTCCATCCTCAGTCCGAGAACGGGCCCTCCTCAGCATGAAACCCCAGCAAAGTCACCATGATTCACCTGCAGAGACTTTGTTTCAGGAAAACGTTTTCACTTGACATTTTCTTTTCAGGCGCTATTTAATGAAGGGATTTTATGGAAAAGAAGTCTTGAGCAAACACTGTCATAAAGTTTTGATCTAAGATAATTCTGACATTTCTCCCCCACAAGAGCCATCGTGAAAGATAAGAAATCTCAGAAGCTTAAGGTAAAAGAATTATGTATAGCAGTAAAAGAGATAACATGTCACACTCCCTCTGAGCCTTGTCATCTTTAATTAAGGCTATTTTTTCTTTCTTAGCTAAAACAATGTTGCGAAAATCTGAGACCAGAGAACTTTCTTAATCAAGCTTTGAAGATTCATATATGCTAGCAGTTGTTTATCTCTCTTTATTTGTTCGTCTCTTTGTTTACTAATGTGAGAAACTAATCACAGAAGAAAACTCGTGTATCATACTTCGTTGTTACCACAGTGTGATGTACAGAAAGCCTTATAAATATCAAGGGCGACAGAAATGGATTCTTAGAGACGTTTAGGGACTGCACTGAATCTAATCACATTGAAGATTTCCCAACAAGCTATGACCAGATTCTAAAGGTGATTACAGTTTAATCCTTTTCTTCAGGCCACAACTTGGTAGATTGTGGCGTTTGTTTATTCAACCACCAGTGCCTGAAAAATTACTCAGTGTCAAGGATTAGAGATTCAAAGGCAAGCTCCCAGTCCCACACGGAGGACACAGGATGAAAGAGGGAAAACGAGGCCTGCGTGTGAGCGCTGTCCTGTAGCTCGCTATGGCGTCTGCCCAGCCCCGGGGAGCCAGGAAGGGCACCCCAGGAGTTGATAAAAACACGACCTGAGAGAGAAAGACCTGAACGCAGAGGATCTGAGACGGCAAGCGGGTGCGACCCGGGAGACATCAGCCGCAGAGTGGGGGCGACAGCCGTGCTCAGAGTAGCGAAGTCGCTTCGCGCAGGGCCACGTAAGCTGTGTTTGAAAGTGTCGAGTTTACCCGAAAGCCAGTGGGAAGCCGCTGAGGGGGCGCCTGCAGGAGAGTGGCCTTATGGGGTCTGCGCTTAGGAACCTTCCCCTCTGGGCTGCAGGGGGGGCAGGTGCAGGGACAGAGGGCCCCGCGGGCAGAGTAAGGACGCGCGTTGTGTCTGTCAGGCTGAGAAGGATTCGGGAGGGAAAGCCAACACACCTTGGCCAGTTAACCCCTTTAATTCTATGGGAAGCTTTAGCTTTGAAAATTCTGCCATTTCCCTTCAGAGGAGAGAAAGGAGTACTCCTCGGAGAGCAGGCACCTCGGCCTGACGGGAACAGCGCTGCCCTGCCGCCCACGGCGTGGCCTCTCCACTGCCAGGCACCCAGGCTCCCCAGCGTTTCAGTCGCTGCGTTTGCCGCGCCAGCCTCAGTGGTGACCGTCGGGTCAGAATCAACCAACGTGCCTTAAAAGCATCGCCCTCCCGCCACCAGGGGCTGAGCGCCTCGTCTCGGTGCCCCAGCGCCAAGCCCGATAAACGCGGCGTGGAGGGCGCGACGCGTGTCTGGGTGTGCCTGGGCCAGGCGCGTCGAGCCCGCCGGAGCTGCCTGGCAGAAAGCAGGCCTCCTGTGCTACGTTTTATTTAGGCAGCAAACGACAGCAGAAAATTGAACTAATCTTCTGAATGGGCGGATAAAGCAGGGTAAGCACTGAAAAGCAGCTGGAGGAACTGCTTAAGAGGGACGCTAAGCAGGCCCGCCCAGGCGCATGGCCGGGGACAGAGAGAACAGGCAAATACACGCGCAGCGAGAGCTGAGCCGGCTGCATCTGGGCGTGGAGGCTGGCTCGTGAAATGAGAGCGACCCACACACAGCCGGAGCTCCCTCCGACAAAAACAGAACCCACCTGTGCCCGGGGTCCAGGGGAAGCAGGTGACACATTTCAGTGGTAAGGGCTCTAGACAGAATTATATGGGTGATATGTTAATCCTTAGGTAGTCAGATCTTCAGTCCTTGTTCCAATACCCAGCATTATGCTTTTTCGTAAGATGTGGAGAATTCAACTTGTCTTAAGTCACAATTAAATCTCCAGGCCCTACCTAGTCAGTGGCGGATGCCTGATAGAGTCGGGAGAGGCCATCGGTGAACATTAAAAGAATGTCTCAGTGGACGGATGGATGATTGAGTGACGGGATTTATTAATTTGAAGTGCTTAGGAGTTCTCTTATTTTCATAATTTCTGTTTCTTCTGAAGCATTCTTTCAGTGGGAAAGGAGAAGCAACGTAAGAGGGAGGCTCTGCACTGCCTTTCTCAAGGCTCCACCAGTCCTCACCCGCCTTCTTCGTTGCCGCAGAGCACACACCGTGTGCTTATAATCACATGCGTTTCTTCTTTCAAAAATCGGATCCACTTTGGATGCTCTGAACTTTAGTCTTCCTGACTCCATCTTTACAGATCGGTGGTATCTGTCTGCTCTTGCCCTTGACCATAGGGGCCTCCTTCAACCTCCCGTATACATATTTTTATATCTAATTTCAGCCACATTTATTCTCAGTTGGTGTTCTCTGTCTTTACTGTGATTATCCGATTTCTGTTATCGAACAACACCCACCCATTTCCGCAGGTTTCAGGTGGTTCATTTCCTAGGGTACAGGACTGACTATAATTCATGTTTTCATTTTTAGCTTTTGGCAGTCCTGTCTCCCAAAGTTTCCACCATTCTGTATCACTAGCAAGCAGTTTTTCCCCATTTAAAATTAGCATCAGAATTAAAGTGTTCTCCTTGCCTTCTCTATTTCTGGCATGAAAAATTGTTAAAGTAAGCAGATCATTTCTCTTCTGCCCTGCTTTTTAGTAAGGTGTTCCTTCCAGGAGCTGTCTGATTCAATTTCCCCAGCACTAGTACCACAACCTTCCTTGACATCTGTTTTCTAGTCTGCAGCAGGAAACCATTGTCCATGTTCCCCATTTGGCAGGAAGTCTATACTAACTTCTCTCAACACCCTACTTCTGATTCTGCTCTTGGCTCTACTCCAAACACCCTAACCGATGGATCCACCATGAGGTCATCAGATTTGCGGGAAGACGCACACGTACAATCCCACCCCCCCATCCCCTTCTGTTGGAAATGTCATGCTGCTTAATCAACACCTCGATTTTCCCTGCCTACGTTTTTTCATCTATTAGAAATAATAGACTTGCTCAGTTGACTTACCTAATTCAGGCAAATTTATGGCTATAAAATTATTTTAAAAGAAACCTTCAATTTCAGTGTAATAATTAACAGAATCTGTTCCCATAGAGGTTGTATGAGAGGTTGCACTGGTACCATAGTCCATTTAAAACAGAAATAATTTGTGTACAGTACATTAAAATCATGGGTATGTGCCTTGATCTTTAAAAGGAAATAGGTAGGAGTCTAAATGCTTGGTGATCAGAAGAAAACCGTGAAACCTAACAAAGGGTCATTTAATTCCACTGTGGCTAATGAAGTGGGGGACAAATAACTACGTAGCCAAACTTAAATCAGCTTGTCTAGTTTTTTACCCATCCATGAAACTAATGATTAATATTTAAAATCCAGGGTGTTCCAAAGGGCACTTACAAGAAGACCATTGCCATCTGAAGCCATGTATGATTCCAAATTGGTAGAAACAAAAGCTAGAAGACAAAAGAGATTTCGGATAAATGTGGGGTTAAAGGGTTCGTAAAAACATGTATCTCTTTAACCTAGGGGTGGGGGTGATAGGCATTTCTATTTCAATTGACAAATTTCACAGTAAAAGCAATTTATTAAATGAAGTTTTAATACACAACTCAACAAACTAACTGTTTAAAACTGAGTTTATAAAATAAGCCAGAATTTCATCTGCACATTTGTCAGTATTCTTTCAAGTCTAATACTATTTATGCATTCATTATTGTATTATATATATGTATATATATATATTTATATCTTTGAAAAGTAAAAACATTTCCCTCTTCATGATGAACACGCAGTGTAGGATGTGGAACTACTGGATCCATTACTATCATTCTGGTGATATTTACTAAACAATTTCAAAACTACAACTCATTCCTCTGCCTCTGTCCCAGCTTTCATATGGAGATGAGCCACTTTTGATGTATTACACTTTGTAGTGGATTACCTGAAAAACACACACTTGTGGTTTCAAGAGAAGCAGATGAAAACAGAAGAAACAAATCTCATATTTTCAGACTTTGACAAGCAAGAAACCCGTTAAACATCTACAAGCCACTGAAACTCTCCCCAAAGCACAAAGCCTTTCAATTTCTTCCTAGTGACACCACAAGCACAGATCCATAGCCCGTGTAACTATTTCTTATACAAGTGGCTCCCAACTTGCGAAGAATGAATACTCCTTTCTAATATCCAAAATGCCATATTTATATTACATAAATGTGAATAAAACATTTATTTGTAAAATGCCAAAGAGAAAACCCACAATTTAAAAACCTGATACATTTAATTAATGTCTTTTACTTGATTTAATTTACTTAATTTAATCTGTTTATTTAAAAAAAATACACTAAGCCCTGGCTGGGTGGCTCAGTTGGTTAGAGCGCCATTCGGCACACCAAAAAGGCGGCAGGTTCGATTCCCCGTCGGGTGTGTGTAACCTAGGCGTGTGCCCGACCGGAAAGCAAACCTGCAGCCTTCGTGTGCGAGACAACACTCCAGCCAAGTGAGCCACCCAGCCAGGGCTCTGTACCTATTTTTTTAAGTTTTTATTTATAAAATAAAAATGTTCAGATAAAATGTTATAAATATTTTGACTCTTTATAGCAATATATTTTTAGTATGCATTGATTATGCAAAAACATAACAAGGAAGAGTTGGTTTGGATTCAGCAGCGCCGTCGGGTAAAGAAACTTACAGACGAGTGACTGGGGGGTAAGTGGAGGAAGGTAGGAAGGTATAAAGGAGTAAATGGTGGTGGAGGGGCCCTGACTTTGAGGGGCGAGCCCACGATGCAATATGCAGGTGATGCGTTGTAGAACTGTGCACCCGAGGCCTGCATAATTTGTTAACCAGCATCACCCCAAAAATGTCAGTTTTAAAATGAAAAAGCAGCTTTTAGAATGTGTAGAAGCTACGAGCGAAGCGTTGGATTGGTCTGGACTGGATTTAAATCCGAGCTTGGCAATTTATTGTGTAATCTCGAGCAAGTCACTCATATTTGGGACCTCAGGACTCCCATCTGTGAAATGGGGGTAATAATAGTATTTCCTTCTAAAGACTAGCTAAGAATTAAGTGAGAAAATATATTTAGAATGCTCACAGCAGGGTTTAGCATGTAATAAATGCTCACTAAGTTGTTTAATTGTATAAAACATTTATTCCTTAAGCAATCATCTATTAGAGGTAAACTGCATATGCCCTTTAAATATGATATAAACTATCTCTGTGTAACTTTTCCTGACTCCACCCAGATGACTGACCAGCTTCTCCCCTGTAATAATACAATAGCTGAATATATTACATTTTTAAGCAGTTACTTTGTGCATGGCGATTGATGATTTTTATGTATCATGACATACGATTGTTAGGACCACTTTATGAATAATGTATTGTTGGGCCCATATCTTAGATGAGACAATTTAGGCAATTTAGAGGAGGACATTAGTAAATGAATATTTCTGAACTCAAACTCAGACTCCAAATCCTGCTCCCTTAACCACCACAGTACCACCCTGGCTCCCCCCTCGTCTCCCACAGGACACAGTCCACAACTAGCTCCTCGGGGTCTGTGGTAGTCATACCATGATGCTGTGGAGAGGTCTCCTGGTGGGATAATGGGAATGTCAAAGGTAGAGGCCAAGACCTAGTCTTCTTCATGCCCCAGGGCCAAGCCCAGTGAAGGCCGCCGCTTAGGCAAGGGTTGTCAAAATGACTTTGAACTAATAGATCACACTCCCAGACAACTTTGTTATTTCAGTGGGATTCTGAATCCCTTCACTCAGCCAGCTTACTGATGGTAAAACAAGTGCCAAATTCATAGGAGGTGATGAAAGAAAGAAAGAAGGGAAAGAAATTATCTTTAATTCTTCCCCTAAGCATTGGGATTTGTTGTTAAGACCCTGCTTTGGTCATTGATACTAAGCCTTTGTTGTATCTTGAGGAATATTTCTCTTGTACATATTGCATCTTTTTACCTAGTAACTATCTCTTAAGTGTGTCCACTCTGTCTATACCCATTGCTGCCACCCAGTCCAAAGCATGAGCACCTCCTTCTTGGGCCAATCCATGAACATCCTAGCTGATGTCCCAGCTTTCTTTCTTGCCCAGAGTGATGCTTCTTCATGCACTTGACTATTCATCTCTGTTTTTAAATCTCTACAATGGCCATTGAGTTTTGAGATAAAGAACAAAAATGTGAAAATCTCCTACATGGAAGGCTTTGTTCTACCTGGCCTCTGTCTTCTCTCCAGCTCCACCTTGGATCATTTTCATGACTTGCTTTCCATTTCACTGACTTACTAGCTTTTTTTAAAATTCCATACACATGTTTCTGCCAGTCTCAGAACCTTTGTGCATGCTCTTCAACAGCCCTCACCCAACATGGCTTACACTATCTAATCTTTCAGCCCTCGGACCAAATATCATTTAGTCAAGAAAGTGCTCCCTGATCCTATGAGACATCAATCCCCTTTTACATGCTCTCTTAGCACCTTATCTTTTATGCATAGATATTCTCATAATTGTATTATTAATTTTGCAATTGATTCTTTAACATCTGACTCCCCACTATAGTATAACTTTTTTTTTAAAGTAATGGGACATATAAAATCTCTGTGATATTTTTATTGAATCGGTTATATTTAAAGAGAAATCTAAAGTTTGTTACTATATGCCAGAAATTAGATCTTTAACAACTTTAAACATATGACAAAAACTCTAAATGACCACTTAAAGCATAAGTGGGTACATAGGGTTTCCAAATTATGTTATGGCTACACAACCAAAAACAATATTATAAAACGGCTGTACACACAGATCTGTCAAACAGATTTCACTCTGCCACTTGTTAAATATGGAAACTTGTGAAAATTACTTAATTTCTCTGAATAGCAGATGCCTCATCTGTTAGACAGAAATAACCAACTCCTAGGATTTTTGTGAGAATTAAATGAAATATCATATGGGAAACAGGGCACAACGCAATCTCCGAGAGTGGTAGCAATTACCTCCAACAGGAGCAATTACTTAGAAATAGCTTTGTTATAGGAAACTGTCCTCCCTAATGGAATTAGCACACAACTAAAGGCTTTGAGCAAGTGTGATAACAAGTTTCATCAAATAAAATAGCTTCTGCACTTCAAGGTTGAGGGAACTCCCTAACTACTCTCCCAGCAACATTTCTGGTGCCTTGTTTCAGAGTTTGAGAGAATAGCTTTCTTAGCCATACTGGAGACAGTTGCCTTCTTTAAGGGACAATTTAACACACCACAGCATGAGACTCAGCCAAAATAAGGAGGTCATTCATTTTTTTAAGGTTGTGATATGAAAGAAAATGTATTCTGATAAACTCTGTAACTGAAAAGTGGAAAACACATTTCATTATCAAATGAATGATAAAGTTAATTTCAAAAAAATAAGAGAGATCTTCCTTAACATATACTGGTTGTTAAGGACTGAATGTGTCCCGCCCCACACAGAAAAATTCCATAGGTTGAAATCTAATCCCCAAAGTAATAGTATTTGTAGGTTGGCCTTTGGGGAGGGAATTAGGTCATGAGGGTGGAGCCCTCATAAATGGGATTAGTGCCCTAAGAAGAGGCCAAAGAGCTAGCAGTCTTTCCTCCATGTGAGGACACAATGAGAGACAGGATTCTGCAACCCAGTAGAAGGCTCTCACCAGAACTGACCATGCTGGTGCCATGATGTTGGACTTCCAGCCTCTAGACTGTGAGAAATAAATTTCTATTATTAAGAAGCCACCCCTAAAGTTTATGGTATTTTATTATAGCATCCCGAACTGATTAAGACACTGGTGAAGAATCATTCCATTTTGTTTTAGGCACAAACAAAATGCAGTTTATTCCTGCAATTATTTTATAAACTATTTTGTCAGTTAAGTCAGAAACATGGACTATGGTCCAACATAGTTTGAAAATGAGAAAATAAACCAAGACTATCAATATGCAACAAATGCTCTATTGATAAAGATGGCCATTGCTAGTGCAATTAGTATTTTTTTGAGAACTAAAACATAATTCACTAAAAGGAGTTTTAGGTTCAACTGATCCAAAAGTAACTGCCTTGATTACCCCCAACAGACATTATACTCTTTAGGGTGGTGCAGGAGAATGAGCCTCTTGGTTAACGTCTTCACAGTTCTCTTTCAAAGAAGACAAGTTAATGTGAAATAGAGATAACTTTTCCAACTGAAATAAACTCTGGGTTAGATTTATTCTCTTTTTTACAGAGCCTTAAGTGAAAAGAACATAACTCTGAGTTAAATCTTAAAAAGCCATTTTTCATTCACAACATGTTTATCCTTTAAAACGACATATGACAAGACATTCTCAGAGCAAAAAATGGATTTATAGGAAGAAAGTTCCTGAACACAGGCAAACAATGTGAATTACTCTTAATCCAAAAACTAGAGCTAAGGAGGGAAGAGAAGGCGGGTTAT